TTAAAGGTAATTCACACCGCACTCCTGTTTGTTGCTCTGCATAAAATTTTACTATAATACAGCACAGTAACGATTTTATAGATAAAATAAAATTTACACAAACCTGTATTTTACCGAAGAATGCATCAATTCGATGGCGCTTAGAACTGCTCTCTCGTGAAGTGAAAACGCAAAATCCCTGCGATAAATAACTCAACCGCTGGGTTACGTCTGACCCAGGATCTGAGTAACACTAAAACTACCCAAACATTGGGTTGTTATGTCTGACCCAGGAGCTGCAAAACAACCCAAACACTGGGTTGTTACATTTGACCCAGGAGCTGGGTAACACAAAAACTACCCAAACACTGAAAAAATAGCCCAAAAAATGACCCAAAAGGCTCAACCCAGCATTTGGGTTAAAAAAAAAAAACAGGATTTTTTAGAGTGTATGGATGTGGAATCACTATATACAAATATAGATCATGAAGGTCTTGAAGCATTATCACATTAGTCTTGAATTGTTTTGAATTTATTCGGAATGATTATAATTATAATTAACTCTCTCGTTGTTGCTTTGATAGCTGTTCCGGTGACTATGTCATGTGACGAACTGATTGTTTAAATGAACTCTGAGTGTGTTTGTAAATTGACACCCTGATGAAGGCGAGTTAGCCGAAACGCGTCGGTGCACAAATGTGTTGTTTTATAGTTTATCATAAATATTTGATTAATCACCCAGACCTAATGGTTATTTAATATCTGTAAAGAATTATGTGAGTTTTAAAGGTTGCTGCAAAAGCCAGATTTTTTAGGCTTGTAGAATAGTTTTTTGCATATTCGAAGAATACTCACTTCGGAAGTCTTGATTGATCAAGACTTACTGTCCTATATAATAAATCCATTGTGATTGGTCAGTACCTAATGGGTTTAAAACCATGTAAACACAATGCTCTCATTAAGAAGCATGGTGCCCATTTCTACATGAGAAGGTGTATTAATGTGGCCATAACTGTTGCTCTGCAAATGACCAGAGAATGTGAAGTTTGTTTTGAAAATGGTCTTTGTGAAGTGTTTCTTGTGCAAGCATCATTTGCGCTCGCCGCATGAGGGTGCAAATGATGCATGCTCATAAACGCATTCCTGTTAAATGAGGGCTTATTGCGTGGGAAACACTTGTACTGCTATTTCATGTGATTGCATCCGTAGATGTGCTATCATTAAGGTCCTTCAAGCACTAAAGCCGTTTAGTATATTGTTCTTCAGATACCTTGCACGTCTTTACAGTGTTAGGATACAAATATAGTCTCTTGGAATAGCATAACAATATGCTATTCTTAAAGGGTTAGTTCCCCCGAAAATGAAAATTGGCTTGCGTTTTACTCACCCTCGAAGCATCCTAGGTTTATATGACTTTCTTCTTTCAGACGAATCCAGTCGGATTTATATAAAAAATTGTCCTGGCTATTCCAAGCTCTATCATTGCAGTCAGCGGGTGTTGCAGTTGAACAGTCCACTAGTCGTCAAGTGTGTTTTTGTAAGAAAAATATCCATATTTCAAACGTAATAAACGTAAATTGACACCCTGATGAAGGCGAGTTAGCCGAAACGCGTCGGTGCACAAATGTGTTGTTTTATAGTTTATCATAAATATTTGATTAATCACCCAGACCTAATGGTTATTTAATATCTGTAAAGAATTATGTGAGTTTTAAAGGTTGCTGCAAAAGCCAGATTTTTTAGGCTTGTAGAATAGTTTTTTGCATATTCGAAGAATACTCACTTCGGAAGTCTTGATTGATCAAGACTTACTGTCCTATATAATAAATCCATTGTAATTGGTCAGTACCTAATGGGTTTAAAACCATGTTATTAAGAAGCATGGTGCCCATTTCTACATGAGAAGGTGTATTAATGTGGCCATAACTGTTGCTCTGCAAATGACCAGAGAATGTGAATTTTGTTTTGAAAATGGTCTTTGTGAAGTGTTTCTTGTGTAAGCATCATTTGCGCTTGCCGCATGAGGGTGCAAATGATGCATGCTCATAAACGCATTCCTGTTAAATGAGGGCTTATTGCGTGGGAAACACTTGTACTGCTATTTCATGTGATTGCATCCGTAGATGTGCTATCATTAAGGTCCTTCAAGCACTAAAGCCGTTTAGTATATTGTTCTTCAGATACCTTGCACGTCTTTACAGTGTTAGGATACAAATATAGTCTCTTGGAATAGCATAACAATATGCTATTCTTAAAGGGTTAGTTCACCCAAAAATGAAAATTGGCTTGCGTTTTACTCACCCTCGAAGCATCCTAGGTGTATATGATTTTCTTCTTTCAGACGAATCCAGTCGGAGTTATATTAAAAATTGTCCTGGCTATTCCAAGCTCTATCATTGCAGTCAGCGGGTGTTGCAGTTGAACAGTCCACTAGTCGTCAAGTGTGTTTTTGTAAGAAAAATATCCATATTTCAAACGTAATAAACACTTTTATATCACTTCCGCCAACTGTCATACGCAGAAGCCGTTCCGGCAGATGACGTAGCATGTCGGCGTTGCGTGATTAGTGACGAATGCGGAGAGACAACAAAACAAAACGTCGGTCACGAATTAGAAGTACAAACTGAAGATTTGCAAAGATAGATGTCGGAGGATTTCGATATAAGCCAAGAGGAGACTGGTTTTCCTTTGCTAAAGTAAGGAAACTTTGCTTACTTTGCTCCTATAAACAAACTCGCGAGACTAGCATATCTCAGAGGCGCACGCGCTGCTCATACGCCTACCGCCAGAACGCCTTCTGCGTATGAAAGATAACGGAAGTGAGAGAAAAATGTTTATTACGTTTGAAATATGGATATTTTTCTTACAAAAACACATGAATTCACTACAGAAGGCCTTTATTCACCCCTCGGAGCCGTGTGAAGCAGGTTTTATTATGAATGCGCGCGCTTTATTTGACGACTTGTGGACTGTTCAACTGCAACACCCGCTGACTGCAATGATAGAGCTTGGAATAGCCAGGACAATTTTTAATATAACTCCGACTGGATTCGTCTGAAAGAAGAAAGTCATATACACCTAGGATGCTTCGAGGGTGAGTAAAACACAAGTCAATTTTCCATTTTTGGGTGAACTAACCCTTTAATATTTCTTCATTACTGCATTTTATGATCAACACTTACATAATTTAGCATTCAAAAATCTGAATACCGGAATCTGTAGAGGAAAGTCTTGCGTATAATGCTTATAATGTGACCTCATGAGTGAGCTGCAAACAATATAGTTGTTTTGAAGGTAGTTCATGCTAATGTTTTGCATAGACCTGTCAGATATTGAGGGCCCAATGGGCCTTATTTTCATCTAAAAATAATTTGGCAATTGCCCCCTCCTGAAGGCACGTCTTGGAGGGCAAGTAATATATTGGTAATGTCGTCGAGTGACAACCATTTTATGCCTCTGTCACCACGGACAAATGCGCCTTTTCTCTCCAGCTCTGACAGCATTCCCGGACTGCAAAATCAATTAGGCTGAAACTAAGTGAGTTATAGTGACTCTAAAAGATGATAGAGGTTTTGGGTATTGTTAGACTTTTTTCTGCAAATCATTCTTCAGGTGGACTGAGGTTTTCCATGTACTGTATTCAGACTGAAGTGAATTTTCTTCTATTTATGCACTGGATCTCAATTGTTTTATTCACCCAAATGTAATAAATAATTAGGTTCATTTAAATTAAAAACAATTTTATTCATATTTATATTTTCAGTTAGTAGTTAGTAGTAATAGTATGTCTCTGTTATGCATATTACTAAACTAAATTAAAATGAGAAATGTTGCATTGGCAACTAGCTGACATAAAGTTTATATTTTATTTTTATTTTGATCATATTTTATTTCTGTTTATACGAAAATGTTTTTTTTTAATGGTTTAAATTTTAGTTAAAGTTTTGGTATTAATTAACTATATAGTCCTGATTTAAATATATCTTATTATTTTATTATGAAGGGCCAAACAGGAAATTATTATATAGAATCTGAATATATAGTTATAAATCTGATTATAAAGATACAAATCAGAATATATTGTTATAAGTCCGAATATATAGATACAAATCAGAATATATATTTATAAAACTGATTATGTAGAAGTAAATGTGTATATAGCTATGTCTAAATATATAAATGTAAATTGTGAATATGTAGTTATAATTCTGAATATATAAATGTAAATTGCAAAATATAGATCTAAGTCTGAATATGTAGATACAAAACTGAATATTTAAATGTTAACCATGAACATATGTACAGTATATACGTAAATCTGAATATATAGTTATAACTCTGAATAAATAGAAGTAAATCTGAAAATATAGTTGTAAGTTGGAATATAAATGTAAATTGTGAATATATAGTAGTGCTGTCAAATGATTAATCATTAGACAACACTAATATATAGTTATTATTTAGAATATATAATTGTAAATCACTGTATTGACAGCATTTTTTTTAATAAAATGCACACACATATACACTCATCATGTCTGTTTTTTTAATAGGGCTAATTTAAATGACATTATATTAGCTTTTGTTACTTTTAATGTGGAATAAATGGAGCTGAAGATGAATTAAACATAAATTTTTATTTTAATGCTTTTACTTTGGCCTCAAAGGAGATGAAATGGATTTATTTATAGATTTAATTCATAATTAATTGAATTCAGATTATCAGGACATTTAAGAAAAGTAAAGTGTTTAGTAAATTAATTGAAAATGAATTGTCTTGTATTGATTATTAATTGTGAAGCTAAACAGTGTGAAATGTGATTTATGTGAACAATACGTCAGTTCTCTTGTAATGACTAGAAGGCATTATATAACAACAGTGATATTGTTAGCACATATTTTATATCATAATATGTTATGTTATTGTAGATAAGCAGATAAAGATAATAAAGACAGTTTTGGCTAGATAAATGTGCATGTGGGTTTTATTTGTTTATTTATACTCATATTTTGTTTCTCAGCCCTCACAAATGTGAAGTTATGGGCCATCGACCGCCAGTGTTTCCAGACCATCATGATGAGGACCGGACTCATCAAGCATGCAGAGTACATGGAGTTTCTGAAGAGGTGGGCTGCTTCTTCGTTCACTTCTATTTATTCTTCCTAACCCCTGATGGAAGAGGTCTGTCCCTCACCAGTATGCAATAAAAGAAATCAAAAACTTTTATTTTGGATGCGATTAATCACGATTAATCATTAGACAACACTAATATATAGTTATTATTTAGAATATATAATTGTAAATCACTGTATTGACAGCATTTTTTTTAATAAAATGCACACACATATACACTCATCATGTCTGTTTTTTTAATAGGGCTAATTTAAATGACATTATATTAGCTTTTGTTACTTTTAATGTGGAATAAATGGAGCTGAAGATGAATTAAACATAAATTTTTATTTTAATGCTTTTACTTTGGCCTCAAAGGAGATGAAATGGATTTATTTATAGATTTAATTCATAATTAATTGAATTCAGATTATCAGGACATTTAAGAAAAGTAAAGTGTTTAGTAAATTAATTGAAAATGAATTGTCTTGTATTGATTATTAATTGTGAAGCTAAACAGTGTGAAATGTGATTTATGTGAACAATACGTCAGTTCTCTTGTAATGACTAGAAGGCATTATATAACAACAGTGATATTGTTAGCACATATTTTATATCATAATATGTTATGTTATTGTAGATAAGCAGATAAAGATAATAAAGACAGTTTTGGCTAGATAAATGTGCATGTGGGTTTTATTTGTTTATTTATACTCATATTTTGTTTCTCAGCCCTCACAAATGTGAAGTTATGGGCCATCGACCGCCAGTGTTTCCAGACCATCATGATGAGGACCGGACTCATCAAGCATGCAGAGTACATGGAGTTTCTGAAGAGGTGGGCTGCTTCTTCGTTCACTTCTATTTATTCTTCCTAACCCCTGATGGAAGAGGTCTGTCCCTCACCAGTATGCAATAAAAGAAATTGATTTCCATCATGAATGAATAACACAGAAGGGAAGGGTTCTAGAGATTCACTCTGCTTGTTTGAGTCTAATTCATCTCCTTCCACTCACTTAGTCAGAAAATATTGATTTTTAGCCATGAGCTGTTTATGAATAGCTTTGCTTTATTAGAACATTCTTATTTTTTTCATTTAATATCGATTAGTCTACAGTCCACCATACAAATGCATTCACACTTCTGTTCTCTCCCAATAATGTCTACTGCATTATGTAATAATGAAGTTTGCATTCATATTTTAGTATGCATTGTACGTATAGAACGAACATTTTTACATTTTTAGTGTTTCCAAGTGAAAATGTGAGTGTTAGTGTAGCGGTTCTCAACTTTTTTGACTCCATTGTCTATCACGCCCCCGTTGTCTATCACAATATTCGAAGACCCCTGTGATTTATTGGATACATATTCAATATAAATATATCAAATATATTTTTTCCTACTTGATAAAATCTTTTAGACTTTGGCATTACTAGAAAAAAAAAATGTATTAGAAATGCCCATAATAAGATTATGTTAATTTGCATGACTTCTCAAGGCTAGAAATCACACTTTTAAAATTAGGCTTCTTCATACATACAGTTTTTTTTCCCTGGTTCTTCAAATAATAATAAAAAAAATACTTGTTGACCAGTACTTACTTTGGTGACCAACTCTCACTATTAACTATGACTTTCCTCTCAATAAACTCAGAATTTCCCTGCTTATTAATAGTTAGTATGGTAGTTTTTAACAAGTTAATTTGGATTAAGGATCTAAAATATAGTTGTGCAGAATAAGGCATTAATATGAGCTTTGTAAGTACTAATAAACAGCCAATGTGCTAGTAATATGCATGCTAACAAGCAACTAGTTAATAGTGAGTATTGGTCCCTAAACTCAAGTGTTAGTGAATTATCTTAATTTTAGTTCTGTCATGACAACTCTCGGAGGACTGGCATGGTAATGTAATGTCTGATTACTTTTCTTAGGGAATTAATTATTATTAATTCATTCAGGTTTTGAGAGGACTCGAATCTGAAATGTACGTGACAATGTTAATGTATTTGGTCTTGGCGAAATAGATCTGTCTAATAGACGCTGCTGCTGCGGCAGAGCAAGTACCGAGACTTGCTACTGCCAATACATTCACAACATGCTGCTGTAAGCACGCCATATAGAGTTTCATGCCAGAACTCTGTATTTATTTTAATTTGATTTTAAATCATTTTAAGTCATCCTGAAGCCCCCTTCAAAGTATGCTGAGTACCCTTAGATGAGAACCTTTGTTATCGGGTATCGTGGGTCTTGTGGGCATTGTGCTTGCCAGGGTCAAAAAGCAAAGATATTTTTTCTTCTGTGTATTTCTATGGGCATTATTGTAGTTGTTGCCAGTTTTATCTTCTGGCAGGCGAAATGAAAGAAATGCAGTAAACCGCATGATTTGATGCATAATTTATATACAGATAGTGAAGGATGAGATGTGAGAAACTTCTAACCCAAAGTATGAGCAATAGTAATAGTGAACAGTGAACACCTAATAAACTGTGGTCTGAAAACAGAAATAAAACAATGTCATGGTTTCATATGTAATGAATGATTGAATCATTGAACGAAGAGGTCAGGGTTTGTTTGATTTTTTTTTTTTTTTTAAACAATCATTCAATCATGGACTCCAAAGCATCTGGTGACACAAAACAATGTCATTTTGCAATAAGATTCTCAAAGAAAATTACATTTCCCCAGAGGCCCCAAACCAGCTTTACTGGGCACGCTCCGAGGAGTGTGTTTGTGCCTGTGATCTTGCGATTGCGGTATGGCTGATGATGTCAAGGAACGGAAAGAACTTGGTTTTTGGAGGAAACGTAAGATGCCTATGAGCTACATGGAGCAGCGAGAGAAGAAGTGTTGAATTCAGAATCAATATGTTGATGCCCCTCATGGACAATGTGACTGCAGAAATAGATGTAATTTGTACCGTATCCTCTGAGGAGATTCAGATGTTAAATGAATAAGACAAAGTCCATATTCACTTATCAGCAAACTGTAGAAATGCATTTAGTTTGCTCAAACTACTCTAAGAGCAATATGTATGGCACATTAAAAATGCAAATGCATTTATACACATATTTATGTTCTAACACTATAGTCAGTTTCATCTGATTGGTTCATTGGAATCATCTGAGAATGAACATTTCAAGTGTCAGAGGCAGAGCAAATTAGAAAGACAAAAAAAATGTTGTGTCTGCTAAAAGTACAGTATGTAGAGTCAGTTTTGATTTTGTGTTGACTTTAATGTCCCCTAGCTAATTTAAATCTGGAAAACCATGTATGTTTAATTTGGAGATTTTTTTCATTCTACTGAGAGTCAACTGAGATATTTTTTCCAGTAAAATTCTTTCTGGTTGACTGGTTTTCTTAGCTATTTAAAATGATTGGCAGCCCTTTTTTATGAAAACCACGAGAAGTCCACCCACACCTCAACCTGAGACATTATTTCTGAGACTGCAATAGTGTGCTTGTCAGTTTCTTGCATACATTTACACTGTTCATTTACCAGCTTCCGTGGATTTCAGAGTTTATTTCTGATATTACTAAATTAATTTCATAATAATGACGGACTCCTCCTTCTCAACCTATCTTTTGAAACTCAGGTTTTTTTTTTGTTTTTTTTTTTGCTGGTCAGATATGATACTTTGTGAGCTGATGGAAACAGCTTGTTTTGTTGGCTCACAAAACCTCAAACTTTCTCTTTATCTTGTTCACAGCGTTCCGACATTCCATGGCCTTCCGGAAGAAATACTCAGCAAGCTAGCTGATGTGTTGGAGGAGGTAAGCCACTGAACTGTGTTGTATAAAACATTGTGTATTTTCTCAGAAGAGCCAGTTAACTCACAGTACTTTGTGATTCTTTACAACAAGTGTAGACTCCATTCTCTATTAAACATATTTTACTGGGTTGTTATTCATTAAATATCACTAGGCAAAGGTTTTAATCAAAAAGGGTATTTATTTTAAAGGTCTCACCGGGAAAAGTATTTGATTTTTATTTTTTTTTTCATTATATTTCTCTGACATGTTATTGAATCTTGTTATTTTCATGAAAATAGGATTGTGCTATTTCGGTGTGGATGGTCACTGGTGTGCTGATTCCAATGATTTAATTTCAATGTGAACAGCAACTTTGATTGAGCTCTTTTGAGGATTATTGAATATTTTGCAATTAAACATGAAAAAAAATGAAGTTGAAATAACATTGATAAGAGACTTATACAGGAGCACATATTATTAGTAAAGATTCGTGGAGCACATGGTTGGTTTCTATTGAACATTTGATATATTATGACTAAAAATCAATATCTCTATGGAGATATTGAGTGGCATTTTAATTTCCAGAAACTGATATTGGAAACCAGTGTTATTTTAGTATCACTGATATACTACTATAGTTTTAATTAATATTATTAATGATTTATTTTTATATATTTTTTTATATTTAGACATTTTAATTTTAGTTAAAGTTTTATTGATTTTATAGTTTTTTGTCTTTTTATATATATATATATATATATTCTATATAATTTTTTAGCTTTTGTTATTTTAGTGCTTTTTTTTTTTAAATCGTAATGTTTAAAAAAAGTGAAAAACATTAATTATTTAAAAGTATTTACATTTTTATTAGTGTTTATTTTATTCAAAGTAATGAAAATGTTTGTTTTTATGATTTAGTCTTAGGTTTAGTTAACAATAATAATCCTGGTGGAAACTACTGTTCCATTTTTGAATAGTTTTAGGAGGCCTATATGTTGTTTTTAGGGTCTGTACATGCAGTTCATATTCACTCCATTTCAAATAGGCCATGAAGAATTATATCCATTGCCCTAAGCAATAAACAGCACCATCAGATATGTTGTCATGATGGTTCGCCTTATGAAATATAAGAGCCTAACTGCCTATTCACCTTTAAGGCATTTGTTCTGCAAAAATGTTGATATTTACTAGGGAAAAAAAAAATTTTTTTTGTTTGTCGTTACCTAGATGAGCTCAATTTGTCATGTTGACAAAGCACACATTGGGCTTATTGAGTCAGAGAGAGTTTGGAGACATTTGCTCAAAGGATATTCCCACACGGAATGACATTTATTTTTGTTAAGGAAACAAAGAACACCAAATTGCTGTCGACAGGCTGCTCTCAAGTGTAGACGATATAAGTAATAAGACCTAAATTGTTAAGTAAAGGACAGCTTTGACTTTTTGTTCCTCTCTTCAGAAACATTGCTTTTGAACTAAATTTCTCATTTGAATGTGGATATGCCCTCCATCATGAATAAAGATGCAGACCAAATCCACTCTTTGGTTTATTATCAAATCCATATGTGCGAGTATAGCTGACCTCCCTCAAACTAATTTAATTAGCACAATATTGTGTTTACAGTTTCTTTTAGGAATAGAAGTGCTACCCTTTTAGAGACCAAATGGAGAGAATTAACCTCTTTTCTTTTATTGTTCATTTTCATAATGTTGGGAAATTAATTAAATTAACAGACTAGCCTTGGGGACATCCTTGTTAATTAAGATTGCATCAATTAATTAAAACTGCTTTGTTTTTTAATGTTATATGCCTGAAGGCCATTCATAAATTAATAGGCTTGTGTTTACAATGCAGCTGTTGGTGTCCTAATATAATACACATCAAGTCACAACCTAATTTTCAGTGTTTCCCAGCACATTACAATAAGTTATTACACTGCTTGCAAGGAAATCCCTCTTTTTTATTTTTCGTCAGTGATTTATTCAATATGAAACATTGAACAGCTGTAGATGTCTGATATTTTTATACTCTTGTATTTCACTCATATATATCTCACCGGCCACTTTATAAAGTACATCTCTTCAACTCCATGTTAATGCCAAAAACTAAACATCCAATCACATGGAAACAGCCCAATGCATTTAGGTATATAGGCATGGTCAAGACGATCTGAATGAGGAATAAAGGTGATTTAAGATTTTGAATGTGGCATGGTTGTGGTTGATGCCAGACGTGCTGGTTTGAGTATTTCAGAAACTGCTGATCTACTGGGATTTTAATGTACAACCATCTCTAGGGTTTACAGTGATTGGACCGAAAAAGAGAAAGTATCCAGTGAATGGCATTTGGCTTAAACAACATGGAAGCATGGATCCATCCTGCCTTGTATCAACGGCTCAGGCTGGTGGTGGTGGTGTAATAGTGTGGGGGACATTTTGAGCATTGTTTAAATGCCAAGGCCTACCTGAGTATTGCTGCTGACCATGTCCCTCCCTTTATGACCACAGTGAACCCTTGTGTTTCACTTGGGTTTCTCGAACACGACAATGAGTTCTCTATACTCAAATGGCCTCCACAGTCATCAGATCTCAATCTAATAGAATGTGTTTGGAAGTGTGGTGGAACGGGATATTCACATCATGGATGTGCAGGCGACAAATCTGCAGCAACCGCATGATGCTGTCATGTCAACATGGACCAAAATCTCTAAGGAACAAAGAATGATTAGATCAATTCCTCTATGAATCTCACTGTCATGTTTTAAAGGCAGAGCTGATGGACATGATCATGGCCTAAAACTGTGGGTAGAGTGACTAATGAGCTGCATTCATGCTGGGTCCCTGCTGGTCATCTGCTGCAGTTACTGTCCTGACTAAACATGATGAAAACAGTGCTGTGTTCTCTGCTTTGATCTCACGCTCTGTTCTCTCTACATTCTCTCAGTCCCTAATTTCTGCCTCTTTCTCATACTACAATCTCTCTCTCTCTCTCTCTCTCTCTCTCTCTCTCTCTCTCTCGCTTTGTTTATGCTCTGTCTCAGCTGGTTCTCTGCTCTCTTTGCTGGTCGCTGTAGGCTCAGGATAGAAAGCATCTCTGACCATATGTATGAATCTGTCTGACAAAACAGCTGTGTAAGTTCCCCTATAGGCATGCTTCATGCTGTAACATGCTAGCATCCTGTGCTGATTTTAGAAGTCTGTGCTGATTAGTAAAAGTATTGAAAAATAATGCAATTAAAAAATATAATTTAATTGTGCCCTGACCCATACCCATAACTTCTGTATTAAGCAACTTTCCTGTCTCAGGAGCATTTCAAGATTGTAATATTTTTTTTAATTCATTTTGCAAGTCAACACAGGCCAGCTGCTACGATAGTCATCATGCATCACCAGACCACTCTTGTCAAGAGCCGACAGCACAGACTGAGTGAGGAGTTTTTCACAAAGCATGCATTGTTGCATTCCAAAAAAAGCTGGACATTTTTGTGCCAAAACATGACCATTTCCAACTTCTCTCTGGTAATTTGATTTAAATGGGCCATTTTTTTTCTTCTGACCTCACAAAGCCATGGCAGTTCAGAATGAGTCGGTTTCAATCAATTATTTTTTTTTAGACTTGAAAGAAAGATTCAGTAGTATTCACTTGAATACAGTTGATTCAGCACATTGGGCTATAATAGTAGACTAAATGCCTCATTTCAGGACAAGTGTTTTAAAACTTTTTGACGCTATGGACCTATTGTTCATTTCATTTACGAAATCTATGATGAAAAATATTAATTGATGATCATTGACTCTACTAAATGTAATAAATCCAAACACGTAAACAGCCTCTGTACAATACAAAGTTGTTTTTGTTGTTGTAATATAAAAAAAGCTTTTGAGTTTTAACAGTTTTCCTAATGTACAGAGTGTGTTAATTTATATGATAATTTAAGGCAACTAGATAAGGTAAAATAAACCATATGCATGAGTTGACTGTTGTTGTGCTTATAGAAGAAAATGCAGTGCAGTACTTCTGATGAAACTTCTCAAATTACAGCAATCATTATCAATTATCATGATTACAATTTTGAGCAAATTATAATTATCTGTTTAACCATTATTGAACATGATTAAAAACATGGCGTATGTGAAGTTTCCATTGACTGAAACTAGACTAAAATTCCCAGAGTATTAGTCAAATTAAAACTTGACGTGACAAAAAAAACAAAAAAACAGGATAGGTTGACTGAATCTATATGGTGAAAACTAAAAAGGACATTTAACACAGGACTTAGACTATAAGACGAGACAAAAAAAAAATGCCCTTGTAATTTTTGGTGATATTATTGGACTGTTAAATGGTGTGGTGTGTGTTGGATGTCTTAAATGGTGTATGCAAATAAGTGTGCAACTAATACAGTAATGCAACAACAGTATTAGTTATTATCTCCACGTCAAGACCATCTGTTTCAAGTGAGTGGATGTGTGGGATGTGCTGCACTGCCAAATTTCCCGGCACATTGAATATTTTTTCGTACTTTGCAAGCCTGATGGTGAAGCAAACTTATGGTATGGTGTATTTTGCAGTTCAGTGTGGAGAGGGTCATTGCAGAGAACCGCTCAGCATAATGTTCCAGTTTGAATATCTATGCCTTTAATTGATGACTCTCCTGAAACCCATTTGAAGTAGGAAATTACAGCAAATAGCTTTTCATTTTTTAAAAATGAAACCAAATGGGTGCTTGATGATAATGTACTCCTGGGGAACACAAGGACGAAGATACGAGGTGAAATGAAAATAAGAGTTCCACTCTCTTTCCACTCTTTTTTTTCAAGATGGGAATTGACTTTTCATTGAAAAGTTTTCTCTTTTCCATAGCATGATCATTACGATAATGTTCAAGGCCCTAAAACATTGAAAGATTGTTTAGAAAATATATCTTTGTGATCGCAGCATTTTCTTCTTTCAGGATGAAGATATTCCAAATAAGTTGTTTTTTCAAAGACACTCCAGTATCACTCACAATGTCTGTCTC